TGTTAACAAAAGAATGCTATTGTGTTGTCTTTGAATTGTTTAATTGCTGGGGAAGCAGCAACAGTTGTTAAAGTACAGGTTACTTGGGAGGGAAATTTCTGCTTTTTTTCCCATGGAAGGTGAAGAGCTGTGGATTCCTTCCAGACTGGTATGGTTTCATGGGGGCAGGACCACCTGAAGCAGTATGATACTTTGTATTGGAATGGATCTTCATTTGTTGATACTGGTTAGGTTTTCTAGATATATAGATATTCTTCATACCATTCATAGACCAATGGAATATATGGCATTTAAATGGTTTAGGGTTTTTCTTGACAGTGAGACACAACTGCTCCTGGCACACCAATTATATCTGAGAGGAAGATGGGCATCGAAGAAACTCGTTATAGAATTTGACTTTGACATGGCAAGACCAGCCATTTGGGCAAGAAGCTACTCTTGTCTGAACTGTTTAACTGTTGCTTTATAAACTGGACATGCAGGACCCACAGGAAAATGTCTAAAGGGCTCTGCTTTATGGAGGAGTACAAACTGCCAATGCAGGACAGTTTAGAATTCCCTGCTTCATGAAAGAGTCTGCCAGACATTCTACAGGACACAGAAAAAAGATGACAGACAAACTGCCAATGCAGGTGGACAGATTAGAATTTCCTGCTTTGCTGAGAAGTCGGCCAGACACATTGTGGCCTGTAGGCTAAAGATGGATGCCCCAAGGTTACCAAGAAACTTTGGGTTACTGTCTAGGAATCAAGGTGTCTCTGGCAGTTCTAGAGTTTATATATTATCCTTCTATGGTCTTTGATGGAGTTGAAGATAGATAGTTATAGTAACACACTAAGATAGAATGGTTAAAATCTTACAGTTCTTACTTGATAACTGTTTTGTTATATATAAAGAAGGGGGAGATGTTGGAACCCAGATGCCATGGGGGTCTCTAAGAGTTGTTTTCCAGCATAACCACAGGTACCTCCTGTTTGTCTGACCTCACCCCACTGGTATCAATATCCTGTTGTGAACCCTTTGACCTGGGGTTTTTTTAAGTTTGTATATAAGGCTGCTTCACAATAAAGGTGAGAGATAAATAAAGGCTGCTTCTCAAAAAGGACCAGGAGTCTTGTGGTTCATCAAAATCTCCAGGCTTTCACCCAATACTCGGACTTGGTGGCCAAGAGCAGCCACAGCATAGTAGTACATTTCCATATGACCTCCCAAATGGCTCTTACTGTTAGTTATCTCTCCCTGTATCCTTTCCCTTATTCCTATCTTCTATCCTTTCCATTCACTCTTCCTACTCTAGCCTTCTGACTGTTTCTTCATAGAAGGAAGACCCGCTCCTACTCCTTAATCATCCCTTACTCAATACGTAACCCCTGTGGTTATATGTATCATAGCATGCCTATTGAATTCTTAAAATCTAACATCCACATATAATAGAAAACATAACATTTGTCTTCTTGCGTCTGTGTTACCTTACTCAGGATGATTTTTTTCTAGCAAATTTAATTTTTAACAGACAAATAGCATTACACTGTGTAAACAGAAATTTTCATTATGTATCATCTGCTGATGGACATTTAGGCTGTTTGTTTTGAAACATCTTAAACAGTAGCAATTGGTTAAGTGGAATGAATGTTTAGTAATAAGGACAAGTTCCAACAGAAGCATAAATTCAGGAGATAAATTCATGCTGAGATTACAATTGGAGAGGGATGGGAGTATGGTAATAAATGAGGTTGAACTGATAAGTAGGGAACTAATTAATTCATCAATTGATAACTCTTGGTCATTTATCCTGCAAGGCCTTGTGGTGAACCCACAGTGATGCCCTCTGCTTTAGTGGGACTTAACATTCTTCAATAATCACAGGTTCTTTCGTGGAAAGTGACCTTTGTTAAAGGGGGAAATATTCATGGTCATTCAACATTTGAGGGGAAAAATAGAGGACTGAGATTAGGTGAATATCTATGTATCATTTTAAACTAAAAGAGCTGTATGCAGACACTGGAAGCAAGGATGGAAAGGAGAAGGAAGCATTGATGAGACCCATGATATTTGGCTGAGTTTGTGAACCTTGATGACTAATGGGCCTGGGGAATAAAGGAGAGAATAAAATTTAGTGGTCTTGAAGGTTTCTGCCTTCTGAGGATAATGCTTTTGCTAATTTAGGGCTTAGCCCATGTTTGTCATTTCAAAAGATCCTGCATGTAGAGAAAAGGCTTGTCGAGTGGGGTGTTCTTAGACTTGAAATGAATGGAGGAATGGATTGGTGTTGTAAAATGATTTATCAATCTGAATTATATTTCAGCATTTGGCCTTGGACTCCCAAACACCATTCATTCTAAATACGATTCCAAACCTAAAGTTTGGAGCACACCCATTGAATTTGTCTTATTCTTTCCTGTACTCTCTAAAGTGAGTAGAGACAATAAAATGCTGCACTGGGGTGCTAAGTAGTGAAAAACAACTATTATTTGAGGATTATGGATAGGAAAAGAAATATCTCATCTTTGCATTAAAACAACAACAACAACAGCAAAACTTCTTCCTTAGCCTAATAAGGTGGGGACTCTTCATGGTCCAGAAATGCCTCATTCCTTGGGGGTATAAATAAGGGTGGTTACTGTGGTCAGACAGCTGCTTGGCCCCAACTTTTAGATCTGATTTTCCAAATGGCTTCTCCAGTTTGCCTCATTACAATTACTTTAGTATCTTATTTTGCCAGACAAAGGAGGAGTTCAAGTCATAAAAGTAGATCAGTCAGATAGATCACTCTGTAAACAATGAGGTAAACAGGATAGAGATTTGTCAGCTATTTTACAATTAGAAAGAAGTAACATGCATGAAAAATCAGATAGCTTGTGCTAGATAGTAGAAGATGGGAACTTTAGGGCTGGGGATGTATCTCAATGGTTGAGCACTGGCTTAGTGGAGAGGAGGTTCCGGATTCAATCCTTAACATGGCCAAACAAACAAACAAACAAACAAATAAACAAACCCAGATTTTTACAATGTTCCAGAATAGTGAGCAAGGCTGAGAAAGAAAAATAGTGTATAAAATTAAGTTCTGTAGGGCAAATAAAAAGTGAGTCATATATGAATGACTTTGATGTGATTGTGGGATGTGAACATAAAATTGGTAGTGTAGTGGCTTGATAGAGAAATGTTCTCCTGGTCTCAGGTATTTGAGTACTTGGTCCCCAGTTGGTGACACTGTTTGAGGGACTGGGAAGATGTGGTCTTGCTGGAGGAAGTGTGCCAGCATGAGCGGGCTGTGAGAGCTTATTACCCCACCCTACTTCCAGTTTGCTTTGTCTCTTCATGCTCATGGGTGAGATGTGAACTTTTGGGTCTCAGCTTCCAGTTCCAGTTGCCATGCCTGTTCACCTGCCACCTGCGGTCATGCTGTCCTGCCATTATAATGCTAGCCATAAACTCAAATAACCCCTTTCTTCTATGAATTGCTTTAGTCATGGTGTTTTATCACAACAACAGAAACATCATGAGTACAGGTAGTTTTTTAGAATAATTAAGAAATTGAAAGACCTGGACAAAATTCTCAAAGAATAGCTTTAGGTTAAGCTTTGGGTTCTGCTGGATCACAGTGACATTGAAAATGCCTGACTTGTCCTATGCAACACATGACTTTTGACAGCCAAGGAAAGAATGCATGTGAACACACTTTGCAGGACTACAAAGCTTTGTGCACTCCCGTATATTATTATTGTTTTGAGAACTATAGTTATAGAATTACCTCTGTGTTTCCTACAGTTGCTTATGAGTACTTTTTCCTCCAAAGAAAAGTAAGTCTTCCTCTGTATGCCATTAGTACCCCAGCCACTTCCTGCTATTTTTTTGCACAGATGCTGAGATCTGAGGTTTCTGTTAGCCCCTCTGTGTTGCCTGTGTCACTGTGCCCCTCTCCATGAGTGCACAGAAATACATCGCAGCATCCTCTAGCTGCAAGTCTGAGATCTCGAGGCTGAAGGACTTCGCTGCTTTCTGGAAATTCACGGAGAAGCGGTTCTCCGTTGCGTTCTGCTGCTTATAAGCTTCTTGGCGAATAATGAGAGTCATCTGCCCTCTTTGCTGTCTGTACCAGAACAAGTTATAATTAGTATCACTCGTGTCGTATGTGCAGTCCAGGGTTGCCGACTCTGTCTCCTGCACGAACTTTTCCTGCTGAGGCTGAGTGACTGTCTGGGCCATGCTGGCTCCTGTGGAAAAGAAGAGGGAAAGGACTGCACTGAGGTATCTGTCAGCGAGAGAAACAGACTCTCAAATTGGTTCCCATCCTCATCTGCCCTTTCCCTTGTTTCCAGTGCTGGACCCGATGAAGCTGTTCTTAGAACCCAGTGCTGTTAATCCTCTTACTTCCCATTCCTAATGAATACTAGTAAAAGCAAATGTGTTTGCCTTCTTACCAAGAGAGGTGCAAACCAAGAGCATCCGCAGCAAGTATGCCGCTACCATGCTGGAAGCCCTCTTCTGATTCAGTCCTTGCTATCAGCTAGACTGGAAACATCACTCTTGCAAAACAGGAAATGGTAAGCCGAGTGAGTGGGCTGTCACTGACGGTATCTCACTTAGAAAACTTGTCAATGTGTCCTATCTCTCTCTCCGGAGAATAAATCTTTCTCAAGTGAAAAAAGATATGGTCAGAACCAAACATTCTCTGGAATAGAACAAAAAAGAAGAAAGTGATGAATTGATTTATAAAGACAAAATGTTGTGGGGGGGGGGAAGCCAGCTGTGTGGCACACACCTCTGATCCCAATTCTCCAGAGTGGAGGCAGAGATAAGGTCTCTGAGTTTGAGGGCATCCTGGTCTACATAGCGAGTTGCAGGTCAGCCAGGGCTATGTAGAGAGACTGTCTCAAAACACCCACACACACACACACACACACACACACACACACACACACACACACACACACCAAAAAACAAAAAATAAAACCACAGCCTAAAAAAACAAAACAAAACAAAACAAAATTCTGGTGGTGACAGTGTGGATAATGAGAAGGCAATCGGGGCTAAAGGAATGCCTATGTTTTCTGAGAACATTTTTCTTCTTCCCCTCCCATTTCCTCTCTTCTCCTCCCCTTTCTCTCTTTCCACTTCTGTTTGTGTCTGAAAAGTTGATATCATAAAATAGTCTGTAGGTATGAATTACAATTCTTTGACCAATAACTAAAAAATATGGTATGTGAATGTGGACATAGGCCATGCCATGTGTATGGAGGTCACAGGGCAACTTTTGGAAATTGCCTTCTACCTTGTTTTGAGGCAGGATTTTCTCATTATTTCTGCCACTGTGCTGTGTATGGCTGGTTATCCTACGCAATTTTCCTGACTGCACCTCCCAGCTTGCCACGTGAATACAAGGATTTCAGATACGTTCTATTGCCTCTAGCTTCTCAGGGGATTTGGGGATTTGAACTCAGGTCCAGGTGTGAAGCAAATGCTTTCGCCCAGTAAGCCATCTGCTCCGGCCTGTGACCAACAATGTTTTGATGGTTTGAGACATGATTGACAATTTCTATGGTGACAATGTTCAGATAATGGAGACAATTGGAACCAGGAATTTGAATACTAATTGCATTGTTATTTGCAGAAGATATTTCCTTTTTGTGAGAAGTACCTGGCTTTGGTTATGTCAAGGACCTTTACCATACCGGTGGTAAGCATTGTTGCGAAGAGTTTTGTGACTGTTTCTTCATGATTTTGTGGAGACAAAAACAAAAAACAAAACAAAGCAACAAAACAGCATAGCTTATTTATGAACATTCTTTACTGCACATCTGACAGCTTGTCGTCAGCATTTCATTGTTCCTTAGACACATTTTTTTTTTCTATGAGAGAGGAGAGGGCACAAATTACAGTCCTTATTTTATAATGAGGCACCTGAGCAAAAATGGGAATCTACAATGAAGAGAACCGTGAATCTCATTTACATGAATTTTCCCTACCTACAGAATCTGTGTCAGCGAGTTTTGTCAAGGCCACCTCCACAGTGTCAGGCCTTCTGTCAAGGCCTCTCCCCTCCATAATACCAGACAGGGAATAGAAGATCAAATGGAACGAGGTAGAGAGTGGTGGCTCTAGTTCTCCCATCTTGCTTGTTATTTCCATTTGGAAAGTTTGGTCCACTGAGGGATTTTTTTTTTTTTTTTTTTTTTTTTTTTTTTTTTGCCAGAGATGTCTTCCTCCGAAGGACTCCTTAAAGCACACTTACTCTCCTATGTACTGGTTTATGGTGGAAGCCCCAGGAAATTGTTATGGATATGTTAAGGGTCTCCAGTTTCTCTTTACCTGCCCAGCCTCTTGCAGGGACCTCTAGGTGATGGGGCTGCATTCACTTCCAAACTCAGCCCCACTAAGGTGTGAGTGTACTAATGAGAGTCTCCTCACACTTTCTTGATTTGTGGTGCCTGCCAGGTCTCAGATCCGAAGCTCCACCTTGCTCTTCGTAGCTTCACCTGGTTCCCTTGGCCCAGCCAACGGAACTTTAGAATCCGATAGTCACAATCCAATTATTTCCTAGAAAAGTAACTGCACTCTGAAGATCCAACAAGATGATGTATACAATCGAACTTGCAAGTGGGCAAATGCAGTGTGAGGCTAGGTAGAGGGCAATCCATGAAAAGCTCCAATATGTGAGTTTGGACAAGCAATCCCACGTGGCAACTCTGGCCACAAGGTTTCACACCAGAGTTAGACATAGAACTGTAGAAAACACCCCATGAGTGTCACCCCCACTGCCATGTTCTCATGAGAACTACAGATGCAGAAGGCAGGCACAGATAGATGCCAGTGGCACAGGAGGGCGAAGCTGCCCTCTGAGTTGGCACTTGACTAAAGAGCACCTGGGTTTCCAGCCGTGAGCATCATCTTGAGGGACCAGGCACATTCCCTGGTAGGGAGAGGTAGGTAACAAATGGCGTGAACTTTCAAGATACCCCAAGATGGCTGGCTTCTTTCTCCCCTCCTGACCAGAGACAAAAGCCTGGTAGCTTTGTGGGCCTTTTCTCCTGCTGATGGACTGCTCCACAGGTTAGAGTCGAGTTAGGACATGTCACAAAACAGTTGTGGGTCAACTGGCCATCCTATCCTTCTTCAAACTAATCAACCCTAAGTTCGAGGAGGAAAACTCTTCAGAGACCTAAAAACCTAGCCCTACAGGGTAGATGGGAATGTCATCGCCTTTTTTTCTTCCTTCCTTCCTTCCTTCTTTCCTTCCTTCCTTCCTTCCTTCCTTCCTTTCTTTTTTTCAGAAGGTCTTTTTTGTTGTGTGTCTGCTGCATGCACGGGTTCTTCACCCCCAATGAAAGCTCTTCTTCAGCTACTGATCCTGTCTGCTGCTGTTAGCTGTGTTCCAGATTTCTCTTCTGCTGCCCATTGAGCTCAAGATTTTTCCTGCCTTTTAGTTTTTTGACTGGCAGAAAAAACGGACCTGATCAAGACAGCTAGATGGTAACAATATCATGCTGAGTGTCCATGTAACTCAAATCTTACATGAAAACAAAGAGAACAAAACACTTTGAACAAGTTTTCCTAAAAGGTTTTATGCCATTCACTGTAGTACCTCAGAATTTATCTTATCAGAGAAGGCAATAGAGACTGTTTACTAAGCCGCAACTGCACCCGAGTGTCCCCCAGGAAATGCGATTTCTGCAGCACAGGTAGGTGGTCCGGCTTCTTGACTGTGAGGTCTTATGGGAAGGGAATGGTGGATCTTGTACTCCACTGCCGTGGGACAGCAGCCTCACACAGCTCTGGATAACAAGGACAGAATCAGCCCTGAGTGTGGATCTGGAACACTGCTCAGAAACTTGCAACACATTCCTTTGTGGGTGGTCAGTTGGGAAGCACTGGGGACTAATTTACTTAAAAATATAATGTTAAATAGTTCATTTAAATGTTAATTTCTGCTTTTGTGTCTTCTGTAAAAGAAAGAGACCAGTTTTCAGTCTCATAGAGTCCTGACGAAATGAATTTTAGGTTCATCTAGGCCAGAGCTGCCAGATACCAGACATGGCTTCTAAAAGCATCTCTGTTTGGCCTTTTGAAATTCGTGGAAAATTTAGTTTTGGTGTGAACATCTGACTCCAACTGTTCGGATACAGGGGGATTTGTATGTGTTCTTTGGGTGTGTATCAGTGATGTAACTTTTTATAGATCAACTTCTGCAGGTTAACTATTATTAGTGCAAGGAAGCAGCGCCCTCTTCAGGTTAAGGACATAACTACTCTGATCATTGGAGTTTACTTCTGAGGAAGAATTTGATTGCATCAAGAAATCTGTTTAGGAGTCTGCTGTCAAGCTTGATGACCCGAGTTCAACCCCTTGGATCCACGTGTGGAAAAGTGAACTGACTCCTGCAAGTTGTTCTCTGACATGGACTCTGTGATGTGTGCCTCTCTCTTCATCACACAACATAAATTAAAGATAAGTAAATAAAAAGCTATCACAAAAACAATGTGATTTTCAGATTTATATTTATGCTAAATGTAAGTAACTCTACATTTAAAATGTACCCAATTATTTTCTTTATCACTGCTTTTAAGTCTTACCTTTTGCCATGCCTTTCCTCCTAAAGGAATCCTGTGACTGCACTAGAATACACTGATGATGCACCTTTAATCCTTTTTTTTTTTTTTTAATTCTGATACAGGGCATTTTGTAGTTTAGGCTAGTCTTGAACTTCAAATGGAGTCTGGGGGTAACCTTGAATTCCTGATCCTCTTACCTCCACTGTCAGGATTGCAGGCATGCCCCAGATTGCCCAGTGGTGCTAGGAAATGCACCCAGACCTTCCTTTGTGCTAGGTAAATGCTCTACAGACAGAACTATATCCCTAGTCTCTGATGCCTCCCTTTAATGTTCCCCCAAGAATACAGAATGGTTACAGAATACATTTGAGCACAATCTTAGAGATTTGTCAACGCATGCTGAACACTGTGCTCTGGATAGGATGAATGCCGACACGTGCAGGGAAATGCCTATCCTCATAGTGATGCTGCTTCATGACTTCATGTACTTAGTGGAGGAAAGGTGAGCACGTCTCAAGATGATATGCCACTTAGAGATGAGCGGCTTTGTTCAGAGTCGGTGCTGTATGACATTGGAAGAGAAGGATAATTGGGTCACCCAGAGAGGACAGCTCTGGAGCTGACAGTGAGCTTGATGCAGTGTGGGGCAGTGAGGAAAATAAACTGTAAGACAGGGGTATCTGGGGAACAGCTAGAAGTGCAGTTTAAGTAATGGAGGCAAGTTGACTTAGGGGGACACCACAGTGACAGTTAAGGGAGTGCAGAGTTAGTAAGTGAGAGAGAAGTCAGCTTAAAGAAGACAGACATGGGAAGGGCATCTTCTACAGCAGAGCAGGTTCATGAATCAGAGCAAACCCTCAGGAAGGAGGTCTCCTGATTGGGAACCCAGAGAACTTGCCGTTCTCTTACAACTGAGGATAGTTATAGGAGGAAAAGAGGGGGGCAGAATGGAGAATGGGAGTCCTTTTTGGGTGGATACTAGCCACTATTTTAGTTCTAGAATACTAATTACCTTTTTAGAAATTGCCATAATTTAACCAAAATAGAAGAACTTTTTAAAATGTCGTGGTCTTCACTGCCACTGCTGACTTTGGTTTTCATAGGTAGGTGGCAAAGCGTGTGCGTTGGTTATCCCTGTATCTCTTCCGGATGAGGTCTGTGTCCCCACCATAGGGCTCATGCGGGCAGTCTCTGTACTGAAATTCTGAGAAAAGAATTCAATTCTGAGGCATGTCTACATGTCTTGGGTAGCTTCAGGGTAAAGAGCTCAACCCATTGCATATGCAATGGGTCATTATTTTTCTTCAACTCATTCGCTCAAAAGACATATTTACTGAAATCACCAGGCTCACTCCTGTGATTTATTTTAGCAATGGCCACTTTTTGAATCTGCCAAAGGCCCCTGTAGAGACCACTCTCTACTTAGACTTCACTTACCTCATAGGTGAAGAGAGTCTGCATAGAGAGTGGTCCTCATAGAGAGCATCGGACAGATTCAAAGAAGTTTTCATTATTAAGATATATGATGGCGGTGAGCCTGGTGGTTATCAAAAATATGTTTATTGAGCTAACAAGTAGAAGAAGCACAATGGTCTGGTGGTCAGGATTGAAGAAAAAGTAAGAGGCAGCTAGTGTGTGGAAAAGACAGAGTAATAGGAAAAGGGCCAGAAAGGGACTGGCTGAATAGATAAAATGAAGTTTCATGGGTGAGCCCATCCAAGTAGTTAGAAGGATTGGGGTTGCTAAAGAGCACTAGTCTTGATTGGACAAAAGGACCTGGCAGTCAGAGGAAAAGGAAGAGAGTATTATCCTTTAGGAGGCAGTGAGCGAAGCTTATGAGGGGCATCCAGATGGGGAGAGGAATAAGCGGGGTGGGAAGGAACAAAGAACTCAAGTATTATGACTTGCTCAGAGGGGATGGCAGATGAGAGGAACAGAAAGGCTGGTTCTGGTGTTTGCTTAGTCCAGGGGTTGTTGATAAGTCAGGAAAGTTCTAGGTTTTGTGGATTCTTTGTAGGAAGGTTGGACCTATAAGAACAGAGGTTTACTCAGAAGAAGAGTCCCCAAAGAGGTAGGAGTTCTAGATTCATGATCTGGATGTGGTGAGAGATGCCCTTTACCTTTGCTGAGGTTGGAGTGGTCAAAATTACCTGGTGAGCTCTTGGGAATTTTGACTTCAAAGACTGGGAAGAGTCAGAAATGTAGACCCAATTATCTCAGTAGATGTCTAAGGAGACTGAAGGATGGGGTTGAAGTTTACAACTTTGGAGAAAAGTTAGTAGAGTGTTCTAGTCAGCTGCATGGCAGGCCATACAACTGGAGACTTGAGAACTCATTCTACACTAAGTGGTGATAGTATGAAGAATCTGTGACAAGGTGGGGGAATACAGTTAGGAATTGAGTGAGGTGAGCAAAGGCTGATGTCTTACATAAAGCTGATCATGTAGGACAGAAGGGAGGGCCTTCCCTTGAGCAGAAGGGGGAGTAAGGCTTCCCTTTTGTCTAGTTGGAGCACATTATCAAGGAGCAAGTAGGCTGAAATGAGATAAAGGCTGGAAGGATGAGAGAATTAGCAGAGGAGGAGACAAGCTCTGGCTGAGCAGAGTTTGAAGAACTGGAAGTGTGTGAGGTGGAGGCCAGCACTACCTGCTCAGCAAAGGGGTCAACTTTGTGATGCTTTGGGCTATCGCATATCTCATTGAGGATCTCCCATTGGTATACCAGATAGAAGTCTCAGCAATAGGAACACCTGACAAGTGACTAAAATCGTGGTAGCAAGAAGTCAAGGAGACCAACTTAAGAGCAGGGTGTGCGCATTGTGGTTCTTCTAAAAGTCTATAGGAAGGAGGGTAGCTGGATTAGGAGCTTTACATTGAAAGGTGACTAAGTGGTTTTATATAGAGAGAGAGAGAGAGAGAGAGAGAGAGAGAGAGAGAGAGAAAGAGGATACCAGTGACTTATGAACTCAAGGACATTGTAGGAGATAGAGACAGTATCAGGTTGATACGAGTGTTCTTCAAGGGCTACTATCATTACAATGGAGTCAGCCTCCAGGGTTTTCAAACAAGAAGGCTAACTGTTTGGATAGGCAGGCTATTGACAGAGGAGACTTAGGGCTAAATTATGCATGAGGGTACAAATGGGATGAAAGGTTTGGAGGGGTCTGGATGTCCCAAGGCAGGAGCAACCAGAGTACCCCTGAGCTAAGAGATTGAGGATTTGATGGGTTGGGAGGGGGTCAGAGGTTCTGTAAAAGGGCCATGAGCAGCATGGCAAAGAGCTTTAGTTAAAACCCAGAAGTTGGGGCTCCAGATACAAACATAACTGGCTAGGCTTAGAAAGGAGAGGAGATCTCAATTAGTTTTGGAGAGGAGCATGTCCTATGTTAAAACTTAGAGGCCTTGAGGAAGTTATCATGGTCTTAGAGGGGACACTATATTGCATGCTAGCCAGAAATTGGAGGAGAGTAGAACATAAGAGACAGGACATAAGAGGACTGCAGAGTGGAGGCTGCTACATATTGGAGGAGGATGTTGGGAGTGAGGTTGAACAGGTTGTGAGAAAGAGCCTGGCCAAAGAGATGCACCCTGAGAAAGGACTGCCCAGGATGCCTGGGTGGCATTTTGAGTCAGGGTCTGTCCAGACAAATGTGAAAAGGTCTTGGCAAGAAAGGTCAAGGGGATGAGTAAAGGAAGCAACTTGTGAAGTCAAGGACTGAGAAATGAGAAGCAGAAAGAGGTAGGCTAAAAGGGTGTCAGGATAACCTTTGCTGTTTAGCCTTATTTGGCTTGAGTTTTTAGGTTTTGAGAGCCTCCTCTGCTATTAAAGGCCTTGAAGTCTACTTTTATAAGGCCTCTGAGGAATGTGAGGGCTGTCCTCTAATCTTTGAAACTTCTTTGTAATATCAGGTGCTGACAGGAAACTGAAATAGAAGTGGAGATAAAATCTTCCTTCATCAGTGCAGGGAGTGAGAATTGTATGTTTAGTCATAGTTTCCAGTAGGGAGAAAAACAAGCTAGATTTTTCACTGGCGCCCTAGAAAATCTCTTTGATTTAGTCATAGTTGACCACCAACTATGTACTCTCTTTTCCATTCCCACCAGGAGGCAAGCAATCGTAAAGCCCCATTTTTGTAGATCCTTCAAACTGGGTTGGTGTATTAGTTACTTTTCTGTTGCTGTAATAAAATATTGTAACCAAAAACAACTTAAGGACAACAGAATTTGTGTTGGTTTATGTGGGAACACAGTCCAAGAATGGAGTCCTGCGAGAATTCTGAGTGCTTGTGAGAAAACTCTAAGAAAACAGAACAAGAGTCTTGTGACTTCAGTTTCTTCAAAACATGGAATTGATCTTGAAATAGTGTTTTCATTCTCCTCCTAGGTGTAGTGGGTAGGAGTGAGTTTATTTCAGCTGTTGTCATTCATATGTCTCTATGGAAAAATATGTTTTTGCCCTGTTCCACTTGTCCTTGTGACTGTACACTTTACTCATGGGACTCCTCTTAACCCTCAGAGTATAAACTGTCTGATGCTCTGAATAAAGTTGGCTATTGCATGAGACTTTAGTCTGCCTCATTTTTAGTCCCTGTTCTCCCAGGTTCATACAGCCAACTAGAGTGGTAAGGAGGCTTACAGTCCCAGAGGAAAAAAGTCCATTATGGAAGGAAAGGCATGAATGGCATGATGGCAGGAGGAGGAAGCCGGCTGATCATATTTTTATTCAAACACAGGAAGCAGAGAAAGGGAACAAGAAACAGGGTGAGGGTATGAACCCTCAAAGCAAATTCCCAATGGCATAGTTCCTCCAGAAAGGTTTCACTTCTTGAAGTTTTGATAATATCTCTGTGGTGGTTTGAATGAGAATACCCTCCATAGGCTCAAATCTTTGAATATTTGGTCCCCAGTTGATGGAACAATTTGTGAAGGGTTAGGGGATGTGGCCTTGTTGGAGAAGTTGTGTCACTGGGGGTGGACTTCAGGCCTTCAAAGACTCAACCCACTTCCAGTGTGCTGTCTCTATTTACTGTCCACATGCAGCTGAAGATGTGATCTCTCCGATGTTCTTGCCACTATATACGTACTCCACCATCATGGACTCTAACCTCTGAAACCATAAGTCCAACTAAATGATTTCATTTATAAGTTGTCTTGGTCATGGTGTTTTGTCCACAATAATAGAAAGGAACTAAGACAGGAGCTGGTATGAGGCTATTGTTATGACAGGTTTGATCTTGCAATTTTCTTGGAGGTGGAAGACTTTGGGACTTTGGACTAGGAAAGAGGTCAAATGCTGTAAGTGAGGCAGGCTAATGAGCCTTCCTAATGGGAGCTTGGAAAACAGTAGTGCTGAGAGCAGTGTTGACTATGGAGGCCCAGATCAAGAGGTTTCAGAGGGCTACAACATTAGCAACTGGAGTAGAGACCATTCCTGTGTTATTTTGGCAAAGATTGTGGCTGTTTTCTGCCCAAGGTTAAATTAAAATGTAATGGACTAATTTATTTGGTGGAATAGATTTCAAGACAGCTGAATATGACTAGGGAGAGTTATGGAGGGAATCTCATTTGTGTTTGGTTTTAACAGTTTCAGGTGAGTCTCGACTCCATTGTTATCATTGTTTTGACTGAAATCAGAGGTAGGGCTCTGGATGGGACAACAATTTCAATGAGATACTTGCTGTGGCTCTCTCTGCACTCTTTAGATGCATGCTTGCTCTACAGTGTTTCCACTAGTGCCTGCACTCTTTGTGACATTTAAAATAGCCAGGTTTCATGACATGAGTTCTAGTCTCCACTTCCTTAGCTGGAGCTGTAATAGGTACCACCTCTTCTCCCGTCTCCTATCTACACACTGTTGATTTCCTTACCCTTGGAGAGCATGTAGTGGGCCTGGATTGCCTGCACAGTGGACTGGTGCATGTTTTAATTACTGAGAGCTTTTGCTTCCTGAGCAGTTGGGTCTTCTCAGAGCTTGTTGCTACACTTCTACATGTTGTTCATGTTGGTATGTAAACAGCAAAGACATTGTGCAGCATTTGCTTTGTAATTATATTCCCTTTTCTCCTCTCCTGTCAGAGCAAATGGTGTCTCATGGTAGCCAGATCACTTAGCCCTCTGAAGTCATTAACTCCTCACTTTGCCAAGAGCACCATGGACATATGGAGATCAAAGTAACCTAGATAACCACAGAACTGGGTGCAGTGCAAACTGCCTGAATTCTCTGGTGGAAGCATGTTTCTTTTGGAACTAAGATATTTAACACAGCAGAGCCTAGTGCTCTGAGGAAATGATACACAGTTCCTGGAAGTGGATTCAGGGAGTGAGATGAGGTGCTTCAATTCTATGTCTGCTTTCTCTTCCTGGTTTCTAAACTTGTGCCTCAGTGCCATGTACCAGCCAGTTATTTAATGAGCATCATCACCTCCTGGAGGATAGCATTACAAATGCCAAGCCTGCTACTGGAATTGGTGCTTTAAGTTTTCATGGCAGGCTACCCCATCATTCTTCTAGGCCATTTGACATAGGTATCACAGACCTAAGTCATCTTGCAGGTGCATGGTAGGCCCAGTGGAGTCCCATCTTGGGGAGGACCTCATAGTAATGATGGTTTGAAGAGATTTATGTTTGGATATGGATGGTCAATGAAAAGTATGAGCATTTGACAAAATTCCTGGAGGTAGGAACTCCTAAATTACAAAGGCTAGCTGAACAGAGGGAATGCTTAAGATGTCTGATTTCTCTAGTGTATAATCCAAAGCTCTGAGAGTCCATGAAACTAGGACTTCTACACTGTCATCTTTACTGTTACTTTAAAAGTTAAGTCCCTTTCCCTGTGTTCTTTAGAGCTGGATGAGAGTAGCACTTATCCTAAGAGAAGCTGATGATTTTCTCTTCTGGTACCCCAGCCACTTCCTCCTTGTTTGCACAGATGCTGAGATCTGAGGTTTCTGTTAGCCCCTCTGTGTTGCCTGTGTCACTGTGCCCTTCTCATGAGCGCGCAGAAATACATCGCAGCATCCTCTAGCTGCAAGTCTGAGATCTTGAGGCTGAAGGACTTCGCTGCTTTCTGGAAATTCACGGAGAAGCGGTTCTCCGTTGCGTTCTGCTGCTTATAAGCTTCTTGGCGAATAATGAGAGTCATCTGCCCTCTTTGCTGTCTGTACCAGAACAAGTTATAATTAGTATCACTCGTGTCGTATGTGCAGTCCAGGGTTGCCGACTCTGTCTCCTGCACGAACTTTTCCTGCTGAGGCTGAGTGACTGTCTGGGCCATGCTGGCTCCTGTGGAAAAGAAGAGGGAAAGGACTGCACTGAGGTATCTGTCAGTGAGAGAAACAGACTCTCAAACTGGTTCCCTCCCTCGTCTGCCTTTCCCCTTGTTTCCAGTGCTAGGCAGTGGACACCAGCCTTATGCTTCCCAGAAGCTTGGTTTGGGGTCAATGCAGCATTTCTGCTGTTAATCTTGCCTCTTTCTTCAAGATGCTAGATGCCAATAGGAATAAAGACTATAGCTTCCTTACCTAGGCAGGTGGTGATCACAACTGCCCACAGTGAGCTAACAATTGCCATGCTTGCAGCAGCTGTCCCCTGCAGGGCGAAGTCTCCTGCTCTGTTGCTGTCTTCTATGTTTACTGGCGGTTCTTCAAAGCAGAAAAAGTTTTCACAGGTGGGTGGGTGATTAAATGTCACCAGGAGGAGAGCTTTTCTAGTCCTTTGTTGTTCTGTTTCTCAGAAAGGAGGCCTTTAGTTATAGTTTAAACAAAAGTGAATAGTGAGGGTGTTTTTTTTTTTGACATAATGAAAAGAAAAAAGATATGGAATTAGAAAATTTCTTATAAAAATAACACAATAAAGTATGCTGGGCAAAACATAAATATGGACAATAAGACATACCTGGTATGCTAAGGTATTTAGTTGTTTACATCTTCATAATTTCTTTAAGCGACAAATGAGTTGCTTCTGAGGCAAGGAAGTAACTAAATTCAGAAATACATGGAAGAAGCAGAGCACATAAGAGCTAATTGTGCTTATATTTTCCACGGGTACTGTTTAAAATTGGATCTTGCTGTGCTACCTCAAGAACCTCTGAAACAGTGATTGCAGACCTTCTCATCGCATAATTCCTGTAGATAGCTTGGTTTCTGTTCTGTTACTCTTAAACTCCGTTTGTTCTGAGAAAATATGAACCAGGAGTACTAGAAAGCCCCTCACTGACTCATTAGCTCTGTGCTTTTCCAGAGCAAGTGGCCATGATCTTGTAATTCCAGAGCTGGAGTCCCAAGCTGGGAGCGTGAGCTGGAGTTCTGGCACATGATGGGTTCATCTGGGGAGCACAGAGGAGTGGCTCCATGTCTCCACTCACAGAAACAGTAAAGGAGTTGGTGTTATTGTTTTGTTTAAAAAGAAGAAAAGAGAAATATTTTCTCAGAACAAACGGAGTTTAAGAGTAACGGAACAGAAACCAAGCTATCTACAGGAATTATGTGATAATTTTATTATAAGTTTATTAAGTTTATTATAAGTTTATTATAAGGCCCGGTAGAATGGGGAGACTAAGAAGAGGAACAGGGGTAAATGGCTGACCGCCACGGCTGGTCACCATAGAGAGACAGAGCGGGGAACATAGGTGGGAGAGTAGAGCAGGGGAACAGAGAGAGGGGACAGAGGAAGGGAACCGAGAGCACAGAGGAAACAGAGAAACAGAGAGCGTAAATGGGCAGGGGCCTATCTTTTAAGGGGGTCCTCTGCACCTGCGTGCAGACTTAGTTCCCATGGAACCTTGGGCTGACCAGGGTTCTGCCTGAGTGGATTCCACCAGGTAACAGGGGCAGGCCAGCATAATGCCTGAACCTTTCAGTTGGGAGGATTGCAACTGACTCTGACAGAGCTACTAAAATCTCATCCTCTTTAATGATGGTGATGGAAGGGGTACTAGACTCGCTCCTACATCATCTCTATCCTGGTTTCATGATTGGAATTCCTGTATCTTGGTTTTAGATCCCTTCAAGTCAGTACCAATGCAGAGACTTGTGTATAAGTACCTTATTACAGTTGCATTTAGGGAATGCCAGTTGGAAGTAAACTGAGAAGGGAAGGAAGATAATATATGGCAAAAAGTCAGCTACCACTGTAGTGAACTATTGTTGGGTATGTCTGGGAGACATTGATAGCATAACCTTTGGGGTTACCCCAAATGAATCTTGCAGAAGCTGGAGAAACTATCTGTGAACTTTCCCATCACCGATTAATTACTGCTCTTATGATACAAACTCTGGTACTTCTAGGTTTACCCAAACACTGTCCATGTTGCTTCCCTGGCCAGAAAGTGGTCTTCAGAGTTCCTAGACTTTTCAGCAAGTAATCCCCAGTGTGTATAGGTAATAGCCATGAAGATGAATATATCACCAATAGCATCTATACACTAAGTCCCAGACCTGCTCAAATCTCCACGTGCTTTGTGGTCACACCACTTAGAACCCCGGTATTTGCAAAAGGGACAGAAAAATTAGCGGGACAAGTTAAAGTTGCTACTGTTTATTCCAGGGCTGTAATTCACATTGATTTTCCTTCAGAAACATCCATTATTAATTCTTCTTACAATCAGAGAATACTTACGCTGTCCTAGATTTCTTTCTTCAGGATATTATCCAGACTTCCATTCCCAAAAAAGCTAAGTCCCTGCTTATTCTGCCCTTTTTAGGTCATAGTTCCCATCCCTGTTTACAGTAACTAATGGTTCAAAACGCCCAAAAGCCATTGTAAAAGAAATGGTAAAACAATGTAAATGTAAAAATGAGTTTTTGACATATTTTCCTGGCTCCTAATGGATAGCTACAACCCTATTTCTTCATGATGATCAGGATCAGGTGTGAGGTTAAAGCCTACATTGTTGTGGAGTTCCCAGGAACGCAGAATGTCTGCCAAAGAAATCTTCAGGCACCAAGAGAGGATTGTCCAAGGGAGAGACTTATGTATTGCAGGTGGCAGACCTGAGAGTGTAGGGCTACTCAAACCTGTTGGAGACCAGATGATGTCACCCCAAGCCCCAGATGTTGGAAATGGAGTGTCAGGGTATGTATTTGTACTGTTGGATTTTTATCTTGTTTTGGTCAGACTCGTCCTTGTTTTGCCCCCATCCTTCCCTTTGGGAATAGGAATATTTAATCTCAGCCATTGTCTATTGGAAGCACGTAACTTGATTTGACTCCTAGATAAAAGTTTAACTTGAGTCTCAGGAAAGAATATGGACTTTTGAACAGTGTAAGACTATGAAGACTTTTGAAGTTAAACTGAGCATATACACATTACAAGATGACCATAAGCCATGTGGTACGGGCCTGGGATATTATGGTTTGGGAGTAAAATGTCCCCCACAGGCTCATGTGTTTCAACAGTGGATCCTCCGTGAATGGTGCTGATTTTGAAGGTTGTAGAACTTTTTTTTTGATACAGGGTCTGACCTGGAGGAAGTGGGTTGGTGGGGACAGGGCTTGAAGATCACAGCAATACCTTATTTCCAGCCTCAGCCTCTCTGTTCCTAGTAGGTACTGAAATGTGTGCAGACCAAACATGAGCTTAGCTGCCATAGACAGGATCAGGATCCATCACCATGCCTTCCCGCCTCTCCCTGTGAGCCAAGATGATCTATCAAATTGCTTCTTGTGAAATATTTGGTTTCAGGGATAAGAAAAACAATACAGGTATAGTTCCATATTAGAGGCTTAGTTGTATCTGCTAGTGATAGATTGGGTGTTTGTTACCAGAAGTAGCTAAATCTGACCTGTTAAGAGAAAAATCCCACTTCTGAGGTGTAGAGAACCTTGGTTCTGTCATCTTGGACGATCTATTCATGAGCATTCCTGAAGCAATGCAATGGATGTGGACAGAAGTGGACGGGCAGTCTTCATATGCATTATCTCATCCACATGGCCATGCAGAGCATCTTGTGTAGCGGGCGCTCTCTGGTGGCTTAGACATGAGAAACAGTGCTCAGAACACTTGGTGTCTAAGCTCCTCTCACACACACCACTCGTTCAGCACACACTCTCCTGTAATCCTCTTCCCATTCTACCTGTTTCCAATTTTGACTAGAAAAGATCGAAGCACTGGCTATTTTCCAAAGACCCGCTGCTCATTATCTGTGAGCACAGCCTTACCTTTCTCCCTAGCTTGAACTTCGCTTTCAGGAGGGAGCATCTTTTCACCACTCCCTCTTCTCTTTTCCCCCTTCTTTTGTAAGCTTTATACCAGTTCCTGTAGGTTTTTATACTTGATCTTCTAAGCTAATCTTTTTGAAATGTCAAATATATTTTCTTTCACAACTGAATCGGATGGTTCTGGCTTTCAAGATTTGTATTGTGACACCTTTGTAAAAGCCTACAAAGAAGCTCAAAGGCAGGCATTTTACACTGGTCTTTTGGTGCTTTCTCTTTCTGGTATTGACTCGAGAGTTTGGGGTTCACATTGAGCTGCAAACCACATCGGACAGTATTGGAAGGCACACACCCCAGAAGGAAACGTTTGCCATGGTTTTTCAGGGCCTCCTCATGTCTTCTTTTGCTCATAGCAAAACTGAAGTAAGTGCTCTTGAAACCTAGGTGGAGGGGTGTGTTCTTGGGCCTCTCAGCAGGGTTTAGGTAAAGGCTGCAGGTGGCGGAGGGGCACTGTGTGCTCACTCCACAGAAGAACAGAGTTGAATCTTGGAGCTTGGCATCCTTTGCAAGCAGGGAAAAGAGCTGACCTTCTATATCCAGCCTGGCTGTGAATCTTCCACTAATCTTCTCTCTTACAGTTGGGAACATTTGTATCAGGGTGATGATGTCCCTGTCAGGGTCCTGCCTAAGCCACTGGAAGACATTGGAAGCTCTGTCTCGGTAACTACAGTTCAGTGTGAAGTCCTCACCTTCTTTAGCTGTCAAGGAAGAAGGACTCTGTTCCACCAGAGGTTGTCCATTTGACCCTGCTTAAGCAGAAAATAAAGAGATTTTTCACTCATGAAAATTATTATTTAGAATTTTTCCTATGTGTCCTATACTTCTTAGAATAAGACCCACATTGTCCTGACTCCGTGGGTTTCATTGCCAAGACTGTGTGTCCTGTCCTCCTGTGTGCTTCCTCCCCAACTCACTGCTGTCCCAACTCACAGGTCAGCTGCACACAAAGGACAAGCAGTGAAACCATCAGAGAAGGACCCATTCTTTCTTCTTCCTGCAGCCTCAGAGGACGGTCTGGGGACTGCCACTGAAGGTGTTCAGTAGCTTCACTCAGACTCATTGTTCTAGCCCTGATTCTTTCAGTTTGGATCTTCTGTTTTCACAGCCAATGAAAACCTTCCTGTCACAAGAAACAGTGCCTGCCCTCCCAGTGGTGACTCTCTTTCACCTCTCCCCAGGTGTCAGCATTAACTTCTGTCACAAACCAGAAGTTTTAAATTAAAACCCCTTTTCATTGTCCTTTAATACAAGGTAACTGAATACATGAAATTAAAGGAAGATAGACTAGAGGGATGAGAAGTAGATGAATGAAATCCACATGATGTTAATACTATCACGTGACTAGTAACTGTCTGAGAAGGTGAACCAGTTTGCTGTATTTTTGCAAAGCATTCTGGAGTTATGAACTGTTGGACATTTTCCTCCTTAGGATTCCACATTAAACATGCTTAGAATTCTAAATTAAATCCATGTGACATTTTTGTTGTTGTTGTGTGAAGGAAATGCTAAATAGTTGAGTTTAAAAAAGAAAAAAAACCCCAAAAAACAAACATCACCAAGACCAGGCATGTTGGTACATGCATTTGCTCCCAGCACTCTGGAGGCAGAAACAAGTGGATATCTAAGTTTGAAGCTAGCCTGGTCTGCAGAGCAAGACAGGACAACCAGAGCGACACAGAGAAACCCAATCTTGAAAAATAAAAACAAAACAAATCACCAAATGGAGAGTGCATCAAGTCTATGCAGTGTAAGTCTATTAAAGCAGTCATCTTAAAATTCACATGATTTCTATAATTTATTTACTCTTTTAAATTCCATTTTACATTCCAACCACAGTTCTTCCTCACACCCCTCCTCCTACCCTCTCATCCCACAAGGAGTAAATATTCATAAGAATTTTGCTAAAACTTTTTATTTAGAAAAAGTATCAAGTATTATTAACTATGGCCCAAGTAGGTATCACACATAAAGTTTTTCTGTTTGTTTTATGTGTGTATCTCTTGCATTTGTTGTCATGGATTTCAAGTCACAAGCAATAGAAAAGTTTTAAATTTACTTTAAAAAAACACATGGACTTTGTTTTCTATCGCTGTATGCAACAGTGGTTCACTATGCATTATGCTACATTGAATCTTAAGAGGGTTGTGTAGAGGATGAATTGAACTGATGTGAAATGAATTACATAAATTTGAATATTATCAAATTCTTTGTGCATTTTATCTCAGTAATGTCTGAATGAACTGTTCTAGACTTTCCTCACACATCTACTAGAAAATAGAACTTCACAATCAATATCTTTTTTCCTTTTTTAAATTTAAATTAGAAACAAGCTTGTTTTACATGTCAATCCCAGTTCCCTCTCCGTCCTCTCCTCCCCTGCGCCCCCCACGACCCCCTGTCCCATCCCCTTTCTGTTCCCCAGGGAGGGTGAGGCCTTCCATGGGGATCTTCAAAATCTGTCACATCATTTGGAGCAGGGCCTAGGCCCACCCCCCATGTGTCTAGGCTGAGAGAGTATCCCTCTATGAGGAATGGGCTCCCAAATTCCATTTGTATACTAGGGATAAATACTGATCCACTACCAGAGGCCCATTGCCCAGGCCTCCTAATTGACACCCACTTTCAGGGGTCTGGATTGGTCCTATGATGGTTTCCCAGCTGTCAGTCTGGGGTCCATGAGCTCCCCCTTGTTCAGGCCAGATGTTTCTGTGTGTCTCTCCAGCCTGATGTTGATCCCTTTGCTCATCACTCCTCCCTCTCTGCAACTGGATTCCAGGAGTTCAGCTCAGTGTTGAGCTGTGGGTCTCACCTTCTGCTTCCATCAGCTACTGGATGAAGGCTCTAGGTAGGTATATAAGGTAGTCATAAATCTCATTTTCGGGGACAGTCATTTAAAGTAGCCTCTCCACTATTGCTTAGATTGTTAGCTGGGGTCATCCTTGTAAATCTCTGGACATTACCCTAGTGCCAGATTTCTCTTTAAACCTAAGATGGCTCCCTCTATTATGGTAGGTATCTCTTTCCTTGCTCTCCTCTATTCTTCCCCCAACTCAATCTTCCTGCTCCCTCATGTCCTCCTGTCCCCTCCTCTTCTCCCCTTCTCTTTCTCCTAACTCCCTCTTCCCTCCCCCCCTGCTCCCAGTTTTCTCAGGAGATACTGCCCCTTTCCCATTCTCCAGGGGACCATGTATGTCTCTCTTAGGGTCCTCGTTTCCTAGTTTCTCTGGAGGTGTGGATTGTAGGCCAGTAAACCTTTGCCCTATGTCTAAAATCCATTGTAGGGGAATCCTGACCACGCCCGCTTGGGGCTAGACACAGGTGTCACTGACCACATCAAAGTGACAACGTGGGAATGGTTTAAGTAGTTAGAGGCGAGCATGTGGGGCCCCTTCTCTTGCTCCCTGCCACCTGGCTAAGCAGACTTGCGTGAGTACTATTTCTTAATAAACTACCTGTTATTAAATCTAGTCTGGCTCCACACTGTGATCAGCTTTATCTGGTGTCAGGAGTGAGATAATCCCACTCAGCCTAGCCTTTTTCCGGATCAGAGCGTCTCTGCGGGTCACCGCCCGGCTCGGGTCTCCTGGCCCTGCTGAGAGTTCTTCTACTTGGGTCTCCAAACCCAAGGTTCCCAGAGAAAGCAGGAAACCCGCAGAAGCTGCAGAAAAGTGCTGCTGCTGCAGCCATGGTGCCAGACCTGACTCTCAGCCCAAGTGTGGTTTCCGATAGGTACCTTCCGTGGGTTTTTTCCCAATCCCTGCTCACCCGTCACCATATCCCTTTTCCATCCTTTCTTAACTCGGTCCGAAAGGCTTTCAGATATTTTTCAGATTCTACTCAAACCATCTGCAGCTGTTGCGCCACTGCCTCAGGCCACCTGTGCTGCCTGCTGGTCAAACACAGTTACTGCATCTGGAGTGGAAGCCCACAAGTAAAATCAATCGTGGCAGCAAATCTGACATTGCAAACAATGGGAATCTTCTTGCTTCTTATGTGAATTCAGTGTTAGAGGAGGCTTATGACGGGCCAGTTACGTAGCTATATACCATATTAGCAGTCAGTCTTATTAATCATGTAATATCTCTAACAAGAGGCCTGAGAAACAGGGAAAAGGACAGCTTAGCAAGTTGGATGCAGGAGATAAAAGCCAGCCAGGAAAAGTTGGTATTTGAAAAGCAAGACATGAAATGTTTACATAAAGAAATGAAAAATACTAAGTTTGGCCACATTACATTATAAACACAGGTAGAGCAAATTCATGGTGAAATAGAAACCAAATTTGTTCCATGTCTGATACTTTAGATGCACAGAAAGCTAAGAACCAGGACAGGATTGGTGACCTGGCACAGACAATTCACTCCATGTCTGATAGATTTACTGCAACAGGCTAAAAGATGGAATCTAGGATTGGATATTTAGAAGGCCATTTACATGCCATTCAGACACTATCTAAGGATGAGAATATTAAAGATTTAGAAGCACATGTAGATGAAGAAATAAGGAAACTTAAGGATTCTATGAAATTCTTAGAATCTCACATGATTCATGAGATTCAATCTCATCATGGGACTATGGTTGCCAAGCTCCAAGCCTTGGATGACACAGAATTGGATTCCTTCCAATCCGATGCACCTACTTCAATCAAATATCAGGAAAACTTTCCTAAGGTTGTTATACATATACCACTGGTGTTCCCAGCAACTATGACAGAAAAGTCACCACCCAAAAAGCATCCAAATGGTCAGATGGCATATCAATGGGAACCCATACAACTAAAAGACCTCAAAGGAATCAAGGAGTCTGTTGTCTCATATGGTCTCCATAGCCCTTATGTCAAAGAATTATTAAATTAATGGGCAATGTTCAATAGTGTAATGCCCAGAGATCGGGAACACCTAGTATCAGCTGTGCTTGAAAATTCATCTCGGATACAGTGGAGAACTCTATGTAGGGTCTTTCACTCATTTGGTTAACATTACCCCA